GTAACGTAAGATGTCCACATCCTGTATTTAGATGCTGGCAGGACTTTAAAACTGAGATGGTTGAATGAGAGGAAACAAGTTAATGAAAAGCTATTTTTCCTATTGGTGACATTGTCAGACTGACTAATATTCAAACGTTCCAATAGTAGAGAATGTGTAGTAAGGCAAGATTAAACATTACTTCTGTATTTTCCCCCAGTGTCTTAATGTCTACCAGTATTGTACATTAATGTTTCTTTCTCCTGTGAAATGACTGCAACCAACACCCCCAAATCCCATCAGTTTTGAGGCTAGCAGCAATGCAACAGGGTGAGGTGCAGACAGTAAAGACAGCAAATTAACTAAAGTAATGTTTCTTTGTCTTCAAGGCACTTAATTAGCCTTTCCCAGAGAACACAATTTCCAAATTCTAAAAGACAAATATAAGTATCAGTGAAGACCAGAGAGTGCTTTCAGTGCCTTGGATAAAAATAAACCAAAAGTAAAATCTAAGCCAAGGAAATGTTTCCTATATTCCCACAATCCCTTGTCTCACCTTTTTAAAACAAAACAAAACAAAACCCCAAACAAGTGTAGGGGCTGAAGGGATGGCTGAGTGTGTAATAGCAGTTACTGCTCCTGCAGAGGACATGAGCAATACTTCCCAGCAACCACATCAGACACCTAACAACCACCTCTAACTCAAGTTCCAGGGGATCCGATGCCCTCTTCTGTAGTTCACATACATATAAACATACAGGTTCTCCAGATAAAAATAAATCTTTTTTTTATCTTTAGAACACACACACATATACACAAAACCGCCCATTCTCCAACATACCATTATCTCCATATTCAAGTCTTACAGCTAAACCAAGAAGCCAGTCAATTGCTTCTTGCCGATCCTGAATCTTGAAAGGACAGTTAACATCTCTGAGATACTGTAAGAAAAAAAAAAAAAAACGTAGCTCAGTATACCAACATAATGCCAGAGAACCAAACAGTAGATTTGACAGAAGCCTGAGCTTGGATCTTTAAGAATTTCTTATAACACATATTACTGATTTTTCTGGTTTGAGATAGGCTCTCATAGCCCAGGCTGACCTCAGATTCAGTAGACAGTCAGGACTGGCTTTTAACTCCCAAATCTTTTGTCTCCACTTCCCAAGTGCTAGGACTACAGATGTGTACCCCGCACCTAGACATTATTATTAAACCTTTGGTGTGATCACATAACTTAGAAGAAAACATTTAATTGTATCATTCTAAGAAAAAAAGCAAAATATTCCCTTTCTGAAAAATGCTTGACCTTTGCAGATCCAGGCAGGCCAACTGGAATCTAGAATAACCTTGTTTTATAGATGAAAAAAAATGAGGTCTAGGGAGACTGCACACTTGCCAGTGTCTGCACAGTTTAGATCTCGGTCTAGAATCTTAACTTTTATTTCAGGTCTCAATGCACATAGAATAGTTATATAAAAAGGGCAATTTTTAAAAGACGGCTATACAATTCAATCAGTTACCTGGTCTTTAACTTTCACATACAAATGCCACAGAACAGCTTGACCCCTGTGACATGCATGTGGCTATAACCAAGTATTTTCCAGGATATTTCCCAAGTATTGTAACCAAGGTGCCATTCCTGTCAGTCTGAGAACTGAAAACTGAATTCGAGCATCGATGCCTTTAGTTAAAATTTCGGTGCCTTTAGGAACTTTAGTCACAACTTGGCTTCAAACCAAAATTTTAGTCCTTTAACAAAACAAATGAACAACAAAGCCTCATTCCTAGGCTTGGCCATGATCCAAAACAAAACAAAAAAATTAACAATACTAAAAATATTTTAAAGATATAATTCACAATTTAAAATCTAAAGCAATTACAAAAGAGATGTTTTCAAATACACTTTAGGCAATAACATTCCTAAGAGCATATCTGATAATGAGTAAATTAAAATCTACTTATTTTTATTTTATTGTTACATCCAGGTATTTTATATAAACAACTATTTGTAGTCTTTGAATACCATTCATCATTTCTACTGATATACACATGAATGGCCATAAAAAGTAAACTGAACAAATAGAAAATTCTAGTACTAAATTAAAAAAAAAAAAAAGGCCAGTGAAGGGCTGGGGAGATGGTGAGATGGTGAGATGGTGAGATGGCTCAAATGGGTAAAGGCGCTTGCTGCCAAGCCTGAAGATCTGAGTTCAATCCTGGGAACCCCTATGGTAGAAGAGAGCTGACTCCCACAAGTTGTCCTCTGACCACTGCATGCATACTTTAGCATACACAATAAATTAATGTAATACAAAACATTTTTTAAGCCTACTGAAAATTTTTAAAAAAGGGGAAAAGAAACCAGCAGTAGTGGCACTGGCCATAATAACCACGTAGCCTTTGTCATGAGCCAAATACCCATAGGAACAGATATACTACTGTTATTCCTGTTTACTGACGATGTAGTAATGACATAATAAAACATGATTTTTGTCAAATTTGAAAACAATTCTTTCTGAAGAATAGTTCCAAAATTAAACTAAATCAACGAGAAACTTACTCTAGTCACAAAAATAGTCCCAGAGACCTTTTTAGAATGATTTCTATCACACACAGGGACAGCTGTGTACACTGACTGTACAAGTATGGCAGTTTTAAGTTTTCAGGCATATCAACTATGAGTACCCAGAGTCTATTGCTGCCCTTTATCTACCTAATGTAAACATTTTGACTTGAGCCAACATAAGCTATCTGTCTCTTACAGAGTGTACATAGCTCCATTTAAGGAGTGTCATATCATGATCTAGCTATCTTTCCTTTTTTTTGAGACAGGGTCTCATTGTGTAGCCCTGGCTGGCCTGGAATTTGCTATATAGACCAGGCTGGCCTTGAACTCTAAGAGATCCAAGTGCATCACAGGTCTGGTACATTATTACAATGTTTCTGAAGAAAACTATTTCTACTTAAATATTAAGGTTTAATAGTAAGAATCTAATTTGCTTTAAAATCAAGAGAAAAACTGCATCTGTTAAATTAGCTTTACTTACATTGATTATATTAGAACAAAGGAATTTTATTTAATTTTTAAAAAATATTTTATTTATTATTATTATTATTATTATTATTATTATTATTTCACTATGTAGACCAGGCTGGCCTTGAACTCACAGAGATCTGCCTGCCTCTGCCTCCTGAGTGCTGGGATTAAAGGCTTGCGCCACCATGCCCAGCTTATTTATTATTATTTTATGGGTATGTGTGTATTGCCTGCGTGTAGGTAAGTGCACCCATGTTGTACAATGCCCACGGAGGACAGAGAGGCTGTTGGATACCCTGGAACTGGAATTACGAACAGTTGTTAGCTGCCATGTGGGTGCTGGGATTTGAACCCAGGTCTTCTGCCAAGAACAACCAGTGTTCTTAAGTGCTGAGCCATCTCTCCAGCCCCAAACAAAGGAATTTTAAACAACCTCCTCATCCGTTAGAAAGGCTGTATGCTTTTGTTCTACTTCCTGGTTCATTACCTTTTCAAAGAACTTGGGCCAGTCACTGCTGTGGATGTTTCTTAAATTCCCTCTGTCTTCAATCTTGTAGTGTCTGATTTTCTGGTCTTCAAGCCAAACAATAAAGTTTCTAAACTCTGTTTCATCTGCAACATAAACATCATCTATTAAGTCAGTAGAAGTTCTAGTGATCTTAGGTGTTTTTCTCTAAACACTAAGTGAATTAACCCAAAAGGAAGAGTTTAAAGTTCAGGCTCTGTAGATGAACTGCCATCTGTTCAAATTCTGATCTGAACTCAAACTCTGGGTGCACACTTACGAGGTGGGTGGACATATGATCACACATAGTTTTGCCATTTATCTTTAACATTCTAGTTTCCTTGGAGGATATGAGGAAACTGAGCAAGTACAAGCTCATTACCAGGCTAATAAAGTAAAATAAACAATTAAAACCCCTAAAGGACAAAATCTAAAATTTTGAAAGATAAGGGACAGTGATTACCATAATCATGTAATTTTAACTGAATGTTAAATGCATCTGTTTCATTCACTTTTTCTGATACCCTCAGGTAAGATCCTTATTTTGCACATCAGAAAATAGACCAAAAAGACTCAAACCCAAACTCAAACTCAAAGCTCCTGTTAAAGGGGAAAAAACAAGGCAGAATCTGAAATGCCTCTATAAGGAAGTCAAACGCTGGTACCCTGCTTAGAAATCATCTAGGTGTTAGTCTCAAACAACGGTATGAGGACTGTCCCAGCACTTCCTAGTCGACTGCTGGCAAGAACTACAGACAGATCAGCGATGGGCAGCCGTCGAATGGGCAGCAGTGTCACTCCGGAGACAAGCAATGCTGCCCATCCCTCCCCCAGTACCTTTTCATTGACAACACCCCCGACCCTCCCCGGGCCCCATGCGCCTGCCAGGAACTTTTCGCACGACTCACACAGCCTCGCTGCACGCACCCTCCGGCCCCTCCTGGGTCTCAGGGCCTCCACCGCCACCCTGATCCCGGCCGCCGCCCCGCAGGTGCCACCGGGGAGCTGCGGAGACCCGAGGGAGCGGGGCGGCTGCGGTCCCACTGTGTGCGGAGGGGCACGGGCCTGGCCTCCGGGGCCCCCAGCGCGACCCCCGCTCACCTTTGCAGTTAAAGCCGGCCGGGTTGTGGTAGTCCAGGGCCGTGAGCTTGCGTCGGAACATGGTCCTCGCGGCTCGCGGGCCCCGGGCCTCCGCCGGGACAGAGAAGCGAGGAGCGGCGGGCACAGGCACCGGCGACGCGGCGAGAGGACGGGCAGGCGCCCGACGCTCCGGACGGACAGCGGCCTGTGCCAATCGCAGCTCGAAGACGCCGGCGGCCGGCAAGTGTCCACCAATCACGGTTCGGGATGGGGAGGCGGGCCACGTCGGGGCACGTCGACGCTCAAATAAACTTTATTGTCAGCCTCAAGCTGTACAATAGGCAGAAAGCAAGTCGGAAGCCAGGTCTTTCTTGTCTAATTCCTCTCCATTCAACTTGCAAAGAATAGTGTCTGTAGGCTTTCTGCCATCCGCTCCACCTCTCTGACTCATAGAGTTACTGTTTAGTATTTGGAGTATTAATTCATTAATGTTCCTCCTACACAATAGGTGCAATTTTAACGCTCCTAATACAGAGACTTTTCAGCAAGGTCTTTGCAGTGAGATCCTTTCGGCTAGTTGGAGCGATCCACAGATAAAATACAATTGTAATTCTATATTCCATAGTCTCACCAAATACTGAATGAAGTCGGAAACTGGGTATGGGAATCCGCATTCCGCAAACTCCCAGTCACGGCCTCTAGTAGGTCAACTTCTGCCATCTCTTCTGTTTCAAGTCCTTTACTTCTTTTCTGATCCCTCGGAGACGACCTCAAATCAGGCACGCATCACTTTTGCTGACTCTATCTCATGGATTTCCTAGGACCAGTCTTGCCTTTTCTAATCCAGTCTCTCATACTACCAGGCGACTGATTTTCTAAAACAAGCAAACTCGTTTATAACTTGTTCTGCGTGGCATCTTTTAGACCGGTGCTTTCAAGGTTCTTGGTCCAAAGAATTAAAAACAAGGGCTCACACAGATTTGCAAAAGAAGCAAGATACTTATTTGGAGCAAAGTGAAAGTGCAGGTTACAAAGGGGAAGAAACTATCAAAACTGATAGTGGGCCACGTGAGTGAGAGCACTTAAGAACCCCAAGGCTGGGGTCTATTTTATGGGGGTCTAAAAAAGGGGGAGGATTTATTACTAGTTTGGGTGGTTTTCTATTCTTGTTGATAAATTAGATTATATAATGATTTCTCTACTATGCATGTCCCTTCCCATAATGCATCTGATTTTAATCATATGCGCACCCAATCACCCACTGGCAAACACGGTAAAAATAGGGAATTTGCCCTAAAAAGAGGGCACAGTTTTGCCTTACTGTGCATGCACCCAACACCAGTTTAGACCAGACTGACCCATCTATTCTTCATACTCAGATACATTAGGAATACACTTGAATAGATACTGTATAAATTTGATTGTTACTAGGGGTAGGGAATCATACTATTGTTTAGAGATGGAAGTAATTGTATTCTGAAGGGAGGTGTGTGTGAAAGGTGTTCTGAGGCTGCCAAGCACAATGCTTGTGTGTGCATAGTACGTGCAGATGAAGGAACCAGTCTGCCAAGTGCATAATTACAAGGGGGGCGGCAGATATGCATAGGTATGTGTCACCCCAAGCCAAATGGGGCTCTCAAGCTCATCTGTGCTTGTCTGCTTCAGTAGTTCCCCACTGCATTCTAGAGATAGCCACGGGCTCTTAGTGAATTTAAGGTCCTTCCAGATCCAGTTGGCAGCTGCTTTTTAGACACTGGAGAGCAGGGATGGGTCAGTCAGACTAGGTATCTACTTTCATTGAATTTCAAAGGCTAAAAAAGGGAGCAAATGACAAAGGAGAGACATAAGAAATGTAGTTTGAAGATAGTGAGGTGGTCACTGTGTAGTCAAAATGATGAATTCTTTTGTGAGAAAACGCTGTGCAAAAGCAAGAAATGAGCAACAATAGGGTCTGGAGGGAGAGGAGCTTATGGAAGTTGGAGGAAGGGAGCGACAGCTGGTGAGACTGTAGACAAAGGCAAGGGCTTGATCAATAAAGACCTTTCAATGGCAAGCTTAGGGGCACCATTGAAACTCTTGGGGTTCAGCCAACTATATGTTTCATTTTATTTCCGTAGAGACTAATTAAGCACTGTTAGCATCGGTGGACATACAAATGAGGCTGTAGCTGCTATTTGCAGGAATTTTAAGTGCAATAACAAACAAATATGTGATAAATGCTTCTAATTTAAGTTAGAGAGCAGTAGGTGAATATGAGAAATATCACGTGTTCCATAATTCAAAGTATGGCTTTAAAGGGGTACCAAGAGAAAAATCTACATTTTCCCAATTAAGTTGCATACAGAGTGAATCAAGAAAACCAGTCCAAGAGTGCTTGGCACCCAACAAAATTTGACCAAAGATGTAGTTACAGTCACATACTGTGGTGCATCTTAATTGAATATTAATGAATAATTTAGCCTAATTATTAGCCTAAAAAAGAAAAAGAAAAATGCACTTCCTGATGAATGGGAAATAAAGGAATATTTTTTTTTTCGGTCCTTTTCACACAGGGTCTCCCTGTATCCCCAGTTGGCCTAGAACTCACTATGTAGACCAGACTGGCCTGGAACTCAGAGAGATCCACCTGCCTCTGCCTCCCAAGTGCTGGGATTAAGGTGTATGCCACCATGACCAACAGTGGTACATTTCTTAAATTATTTATTTTCTGTGTGTGTCACATGCAATGCCTGTGGAGGTCAGAAAAGGGCATTGAATCCCCCGGAACTGGAGTTTCAGATGGTTGTTAGCTGCCCTGTCGGTGCTGGGAACCAAACTTGGGTCCTCTGCGAGAACAGCCAGTGCTCTTAACCCCTGAGCCATCTCTCCAGTCCCAATAGTACTTTTCTTTCTTTTTCTTTCCCCAATAGTACATTTCTTAATGGGACACAAGTCTTACTATTTGTTTTCTGAAACTGACACTTTACTACTCAAAGCTAAGTCATTTGCTTCTGGTCTACTATTTCTGTTTCAAGTTCTCAAGTTACCAGGTCATCAGCACTGACCACTGTAGGGGCAAGGTGACTGAAGGAAAGTTCAGACAAATGCTGACTGGATTCACCAGCTTAAGCAGGTAATGAAGTAGATTATGGAAAAGAATTCTATCAGACTATAAATATACAATGTTTTATATTCAAAATACCACTTATCTTTTTTTTAACTTCTGAATTTGAATAGCCAGCCCTTTGGCCTAACCTATATGAGACATCCAACAGAAAACAAATTACGGACAATCTCATTTCTGAAGACCATGCCCTCTACACACTTCGGGAAACAGAAACAGACTTTTATTATTAGGTGATCTGAGCTGAAATCCAGTGATTGCTCAAGAGTTTGGTAAGCCACTAACCCATCTGTCTAATTATTCAGCTAAGTTTTCACATGTGAGCTGTGAGCCAGGCAGTCTTCTAGGCTCTTTGGGGCCTCTATGAAATTATATACAACAAGCTCTGCATTTGGGGAGTTTTCCATCTGGCCAGGGAAGACAAACAATATAAAAATAAATATGTAAATGACTTAGTATTTTAGAAGTCGCTAAATACTGTGGGAAAATCATAAGTTAAGGTAGGGGGACAGTTGCAGGGGAATGCGACATCAGTTATGGTTTTAGAGAGGGTGGCTGGGTGGAGCCTTCTTGGGAAGGTGAAATATAAAGACAGAAATGAAGGAGCTAAGGAGTCTGTCACATGAAAATCTAGGGAAGCAGAGTTCTAGATAGAGAGCTAAGTGCAGATATAAGAGGAAGATGGTTTTCAAATTCTAAAATGATAAAAAATCAGAAGACTGGCAGATGATACATGAAATGTATATGCAATTCAAATCTTAACCTCAATAAATGAAGTCATATCTCAGCACCATCATGTCCTGGTGCTTCAAGGACAGAGTTGAAGAGATGCAACTGTATGACTCACAAAGCCTAAAGTACTTTCAAGGGTGTTCGGGGGTTCAGACACATCGAGGTGGCAGTTCCAGCATTACTAGTAGGATACCATGTATCAAGTAAGGTAACCAATGAGAGGTACAAATTGCTCTTTGAAGGTTTTTTTCACAAGTCGTCATATTTTTTCAAGTCAGCAATTTCTCTACGTCTCTGTTCGGTTATTCTTCCAAAGACAGCAAACAAAATGAGTTGGTAACACCTAGAGATATCCACAAGAGTCTCTACCACACACAAATGCTTTACATTCTGATGAATGTTATCAAGTGAGCATCTTAGGAAATCAGATTTTTCAGACCCAGTTGTGTCTGAAAAGATACAACTTGCAGAAAGGTCCCTCTCCCTTGGGGAACCTCCTGGACAGAGAGCATCTTCATTTCTTTCTGGGACCTTTCTTTTTTTGTTTTTTTGTTATAGATGAAAGAGTTCTGGAATGTTATAATTTATCCATTAAAAGTTTGAAAAAAAAAAGCCAAGTAGAACTAAATTTTATTTGTGGAAATAGAATGAGAATAAAAAGAATTCATTTAGTCATACAAGGAGCATGAAACGTAAAGCATTCATTATCCACATTTAAAACTACAGAGAAAAACACGCATGACATAGAGACAGGCCGTTTCTAAAAATATCTTATGTGGAACCATCAGCTTTTTAGCTATGTGAGCCAATAAATTCCCTTTTGTGATTGAGCCATTTGGGGAGGGGCTTGTCGCAATGGAAATAGTCCTAGCATTGAGGACAAACTTTAGAGAGGAGATTTAAAGAAATGACCCACAGAATTAGTGGGACTCCACATAGGACGAGAAGGAGATGGATGGTGAGGAGCTGCCCTCTTCAAAGTCATACATCAGGGATGTGGCTGTGAGTGAAGCCATGAATAGAGTCAAGCGTGCTGGTGGAAGGGAACCAGTGTGAGGTGGCTGAGGAATCAGGTACGGGACCTGGGAACCTGGGAGCTTGACGTCATCTGTCACCCTGGCTGAGATGAAAAGAATGAACATGAGTGAAGGGATAGGACTAGAAATGCCACTGAGAACCATTAGCAGAAAGCTGTAGTCAGGACTGACTGTTTGGATGTGCTCCGAGAGGAAAGAGGGCTGAGGATTGTGCCTTAGAGGAAAACAGAGTTCCTGTTCCAGGGGGAGCAGGAGGGAGCTTCATGGAGCATGGGAACATGATTGAAGTGCAGAGACAGCAAAGTATATAGAGTGTCTCAAAAAACAGCAAGGAGAGGGCTTGGAGAGGAGGGTTAGGCTAGA